CAAGGTAAGTTTTCATTACTCTCAAGTCTGTGTGGAGGTCGACAGCATTCAGCGTCAAAAATAAGATCCAGATTTTCAACTCCAATGTGAAGTGATTGCTACTATACGGATCAGAGACTTGGCGCATCATGAAGAGCATCTCAAACAAACTATAGACCTTCATTAACAGTTGTCTTCACTCAATACTACTCAAGATCAGATGGCCAGCGAGAAAAGATCAGCAACAGAGATCTCTGGGAGCGAACCAACACAGCAGGAACCGATTGTGAAACAAATAAGCAGGAAGAAATGCAGGTGGATTGGATTGGCCATACTCTGAGGAAACAAACCATCAAGTGACATCACTAGACAAGCCATTGCTTGAGTGGAACCCGAAAGGGAAGCGGCGAGTTGGTCGTCAGTGCAAGGGTGACTTGGAGGAGGTCATGTGAAGAGATGAAAACGTGTGGGCAGACATGGAGCCAGTTGAAGACTCTAGCAGAGAACAGAACGCAATGGAGATGCACGGCTGAAGCCTTATGTTCCTGTAGGAATTAAAGGATACAATAATAATAACAATTATACTGATGATTAGTCCCGAAAAAGGAAGATACAGGTATCTAATACTTACTGGCTTTATCGATGGCTCGCTAAATGGATTTGGTATGTGATTCAAGTAGAAATTAACACGCAAGAATATTAATTAGTCATTCTTTGTTTGTTTAAAGCAAAACATTCAACATTGAATAGTGGAGGCGTTTAAATTATGGTACATTTACAGTGTGATGTGTGGTCTATATTAAATCATTTGTTTAGTCACCAATAATATATATATATATATATATATATATTGTAGCCATGTTTAGTAAATAATTCAAATGAGCACGGTGAATCAGAAAATCATCATCATAATGGCGTGATCTCAACTCATTATCTATCAGTTTTGCGTTAGATAACAAAAATTACAACCAACAGAGTTTAACTGCTTATTGTCCGTAAATTGAAAGATGCCTTGTTCAGTTTGCCTTATAACTAACTACTAATAGACAGACAGACAGATAGAAAAAATGGAAGGCAAACCTCCAAACAATCTCGGAGTGTAAATCAGTTAACTGGTCCAATGAATTCATTTTAGATATGATACATTTTATTTTTTATTTTATTTTTATTTTTATTTTGATTGCAGCTTGATTCCACACAGTATTTTCAGTACAGGTATGGAATTTTCAGCATGGATATCGGTAGCCCAAATTTCACAGGCCGACCATAGATATCGGGTGTGCGTCGGCAGGGGATCGAATCCCGGACCATGTGCATGGTCGGCGAGAGTCCTAACCACTGTGCCACCGACGCACATAACTAATTGGTTCTGCTCAATTATCATATAAGTGTAATAATGGGGTTATTAAAATGCCTGCCAACCACCCTCAATGTTTCAAGTTCGAATCCCGAACAGTGCAGCGTAAAAGTCAACCAGTTTACTAGCCATTAATAAGCCCGTTAGTGAGGGAAGATCGGGAGTGAGTCTAACAAACATCACCACTATTACTGAAATTTCAAAGCATAAAGCCTGTAGCCCTGTGTTCCACTTGGAATACGAAGCAATGAAGAAAAGTAACAGGGTTATGAACTGTGAAGTTCATGTGTTGGGTTCTTGTCAGCATAACATGCATATGCATCTTAGAAACAAACAAACGAAGCAGCTATCCAGTACTCCCAGCTTGTTTTCCAATGCTTCTCTAACCGATGTCAGCTCATGATGAAATCCTGTAACCAATCAATCAAATCCTTGAAAACCAATACTTAAAAATCAATGAGATGCTCACTAGCGACTGGCTCTATTCAGGTAGGTAGTTACCTGGGGTTCTGGTGGGACATCGTGACCAGTAAAGTGCAGCAGTTCGGGTGTTAGGACAAATACTCGCCATGGATGACATTGACTAGCGGTCGCGCTATGTGGTCAATTGGCAGAAGTAGGAATTCTTTGGCCATGGGATCAAGTCCCAATGGCTTAGTGATCTACGAGCTTGTCTTATAAGCGGAAGATCCTGGGTTCGGACCCTTGCGGTGGTTTCGTGATGATGAAAAGTTCCTAAATAGGGTGAAACAGCTGTCCAGTGCCTCCAGGTTTTCCGATAGTTCTCTAACCGATGTCAGCTCATTATGAAATCCTGTAAGCAACAAACCTTATAAGTCCGATGTCACAACAACTTATAAATTTAACAACTTTATCTACATTACACATGTCCGTTTTATTCAGATAGTGGGCAACATTCCCAAGATGATTATATCCATTAACTAGAAGTTTTGAATTAATCAACTTTCACACATTTTACACACTAATCGTAAAGATTTATACGCAAACTTTTAAACTATTATTTTATTCCTCAAATTTTTGAATATTATTGACTTAAAATATCTCCGTTGGTGGCTTAGCGGTAGAATATTCGCCCTAGACCATTTGTATGGTTCAGGTTCAGTTCCCAGCCAACTCACTTTTACAAGTGTGGAAAGAAAGAAGACTGAACAAGAGTCTGATAACCTCCCCTTTTGAAAATAACACGTCGTCCTGACTGAAACTTCAACTCTTCAGGCTTAAATTTCTCTTTTCCAGTTAGAACGAAGGGAATGAAAACCAAAAAGAGATCGCCTTAACATAAAACCCTTCTGCCTATTAAAGTATTTGACATAGGCTTCAGTGTTAAGGGAGGACGTTCAAGTTTCTTATCATAAAAGTTTGTCTTTGTCTTATCCCTAACTTAGAACACAATTAAAACTTTCAGTTTTATGGAGAATTTCATGTGGACTGATTCATTAGGAATATCAAGAAAGGTTAAAAGTAAAATTAAAATAATGGTGAAACTAATAATGATTACATAAATAAGAGAGAATATAAGGCATCTACTGTTATACCATATAAGGAGGGGACATCTGAGACCCTACGTAGTAAGATTCTCAATAAAGCAGGAATTAGGGTGGCATTCAAACCTACAAACTCACTCAGGGACAAGCTCTGTAGGCTAAAGGACCCTGTAGGTTGACCCAATTAGACAAAATAATATAATTTACAAAATACCTTGCAATGACTGTGATTGAGGTCAACTACATAGGTCAAACTAGTAGGTCCGGGGTAGTCAGATTGTCGGAACATTAGAATTTAACTAAGGTAAGAATGGTTGATTCCACGAAGATTAGTAATTTAGAAAAAAACTCAGCTATAGCACTGCTTCCACTGACACACAGCCACACAATAGGGTGAGAGAGGGTTAAAATTCTAAAACACATTATAGGTAGGCGGAGAGAGGGAGAGATTGATCACTGAATCCTGCCTGGTTCATCGAGTCTACACCCAACACGTGCAACACAAATGACTCAAGGCAAATAACAGAAATATGCATGGAAGATATTATTATCACTAATCAGTCAAATCACAGGAGCATAATAAATAATGTCCAAATGTATTTCAATTCACGTACATCATAACATTCTAACAAGTTACTTATTTATTTTGACTATAAAATAACACTCGTCTTATTTCCCATCTGATTGTACTTTATCGATAACACTCATATTATTATTTCTGAATGCACATTATCGTATATTGGTTGATTTCTATTCAAATGTCTAATTATCAATTTCACTCATGTATATAAATGAAGCAAGAAAGTTGTGTGAGTGACTTGATATGATTATGATAAATAGTTTGTGCTCGAAACGTGGATGTCATCAGTTAATATTACTGTACAGGTTACCATTTTTTCGCGTAAGTAACCAACTAAAAGTCGACATATGACCTCTTCTCGTTACTACTTTATGATTCATAATTTATAGGTAATCTTTTTTATTTAAACTAATCAATATGTATAGTCCTACACAAGACTATGGATAGTTTTTAAGCAAAATATACTCACAGTGTTATTTCCCCTCTTTAATATATCCTATGTAACAATGTCAAAAACAAGAACAATGTAAAGTATCGTAAAGAAAAAGCGTGTCATCAATGGTTCCGCCTAAACTCTCTCTCTCTCGCTCTCTCCCTTACCCTGCTCAAATAGTCTAACTGAGTGAGTAATACACACTGTATTCCTATATCCCATCAAAAACAAAAACTATCTTTATTATTTATTATTTACTGGTTGGAGTTTTATGACCATCGGTGTATTTAAAAAAATGTATTGATTTTCCTTTCCTCTTCATTTCATTTTTTCCCCTTTATTCTATCATCAAATCTACATTACTGAAATGTGTGCAACAATATATTGGGGGGGGGTGTATGTTAGTTGCCTATATACACAACACACACACACAAATAGATTAATCCAATACATATTTTCTTTTGGGTGTGTTTCCCAACTGAAAAAAAAGCATTTTACAAAGTCAACTCCACCTTTTTGGCCTGTTTTACTGTTACTCCCTTACTCCTTTTTACTACTATTAAGTCCAATAAAAACAGTACTGTTTAATCATAATAATAAGTATTATTATAATAGTAATATACCAGTCATTGTTATGACGATTACTTGTTCTCCTCTGTTCCCAATATTATTACTCACACTCTTCAGGTGAGCAGCTTTAGTCGTCTACTATACTACCACCAGTGGTGTGTGTTCTTTTTATTTCTCTCCCAGCCAGCCAGTCAGTTAGATAGTCAATCATAAAATGGTATGGGGTATGACTCATTGGCATACGCCTTATGTTATGTGTGTGTACGTACTCACGTCTATGCAACGGAATGTGTGTCCCTATAATGTTAAGGTATCTACGTATGTATGTATGCCATACTCCATTTCTATTGGTTCACAAAAATGCCAACCAATCGAGATTATTATGATATACATTACTACCCACCCGTATACTCCAACAATGAATGAATGAGTGAGTGAGTGAATGCAATAGACATTGTGACATGACAACAACAACAATCAACAAAATAATTCGTTGACTTGGTTGGTGGTGGTTGTATATCAGGTGATTTCAAAATGCATGAAAAAGCAGAAGAAAGGTATTAAGGCACCCACATATACGATATATATATATATATATGAGCATATTATAATAACATTAATAATAAGGGTTTTATGAAATCATTTGGTATTTCGTCGCTTCATTAGAAGCAGATTTAAAACCACGTTATCATCAGTGGGCCAACAATCATCATCAAATGGTCAAAATTGTTGTTGTTACAAATCAATTTCAAATTTGCCACGGCTTTTTGTTTTAATTTGCATTTTCCTCTCTCGCTCTCCCTGCATGTATGTGTAAAAACCGATTGTGTTTCTCTCAACCACTTTGATCGCAATCACTTGTAAATAATATTCGGACATTCGTGTTTACATTTTCAAAGATATATATATATATATATATATATTCACAGGACATTTAAAAAATATATTTAACTGTAAACTGTTACATCATAACACTGGACACTTTTAGTGTTTCATACAAATCTTTATAATTAGAAGAATATGCTTCCAATGTTTGAAGAGATTGGTTTAAATTGTCCATTACAAAATGAAACTTGGTAAGTGTGAGTTTTTACATCAATGTGTGCGTTTCATCGACTTCTATTATTATTATTATTATTATTATTATTATAAATAGGGTGGGATCAATAAGGTTGATGAGCCTTTCCTGTTCTTAAACTGTTCTAATGTATTTAGAACACAATATTCAGCGAAGGGAATCTTTTCAACAACGAATTTATTATCAAGCTGTACAGTCGTATATAAATATGGTTTTTTATGAAAATTATATCCGGTGAGGGAATTCGGTCAAAGGTGTGAATACATGAAATAATACTAGTATGAAATGCAAGATCTGGCTTAAAATCATGAATTACCAAGGCCTCAGCTGTCTTTAGAAATCTGTAACGAAGAAAACGCGGCAAGTTAGCATGGATTCTATATATTATCTTATAATCATGGTAAGGGTTGACAGAGTGACAGAAGTCGATCAGGTGTTCCAAAATTGAGCTTCTCACACACTTCCTTTCTCCCTTGTAAAACCATGCTGGAATATGTTCTCGTATCCGTGTGGAAAGCGTCCTCTGGCTATGACCAATGTACCTTGTTTCACAAAGGCAGGTGAACTGATAGATACACATGGGGGTGGCCAGACGGGGGAGCTTACCTTTTACAGAGGTAGAGAAAAGCTTGCGGCTAGTGAACATCATATGTAATTTTGCTGCATAGAATGTCTTACTCACTGATTTAGAGAGACGATTTTTGAGCATATCTGAAGCTTGATCATCTTTGAATTCCATGTTCATGAATAAGGTTTTCTTTGGAACTGTGTCGGTGACCAGTTTAGACTGTTTATCTTTCATGTTGCTGTCAATAAATCGGTTAGGGTCACTGTTTTCCGCGAGCGTGGCTTTTAAGAAGTCAAGTTCCGAGTCAACGGAATGTAGTCATATGTTCATGATTTTATGCAGTCATGTTTTTAGTCTTGGGTGTTACTACAGAAATGAAGTGACTGATTGGCTGACTGACTAGTTTCCACATAGAACTTTGCACCGATATGCGGCAGTTCAAGTCGCTACACTTCACTCAGTACACAAAGCCAGAGAAGAAAGTAAAAAGAAATGCAAAATAGAGACAGTAAACAGAGATATGAAGCAAAAAGAATAGTAATAACGAAGAACAATACAGATTCACTGGAAATAATAAGTCACAAGGAGTAGATGCATCTGCCCAAACCATCACTGAGAACGAGGATTTTGAGCCATATCGCCAATTGTCTCCAGCCTTCATTGGTGTTTACCGTCCCGAGGACGCCAACCAGTCAGGAAGTCTACACCTTCCTACGTGACTGGCTGGCTGGCTTAACTAACTGTTGTGGATTTCGTTGACTGATGAAGCCATGTTTTGGTTTGACCGCCGCTGGCTAGCTCTTTTCCAGCCTTACCCTATGTCAGGTAACATTGCCCGTTGAGGGAGGCGATGGCCAAGGATGCATACGTAACACATGTCCTAACCATCTCAGTCGATGTAACTTCACAGCCTCGTCTATTGATTTCCCCTCCTACTTACTTAGCACTCGACCGACGCCTAACCTCAATACTGCTCACCTTATTATACCACCTAACACATGGGAGATAGAACGCAGGCACATATGATCAAAAACAGCTAGCTAGACTTTTCATGTTCTCTACTCTCAATGGCCTGTACTCACTCACAGCAGTAAAGGAGGACGGAGTGGACTGCTGAGCAGTACACACGTCCTTCGGTCGATAGCCAGCCGGATATCACGTCTACTAAGCCAGAGACAGCGTAAACTGGCATATGCGAAACGAGCCTTTTGTATTGGTGCTTAGATTTCGTCGCCGATCAACCCGTTGGTACTGGCTGATGCCCTACCACTTCACTCTTTATTTCTAAGCTAGGAATCAATGTATTCCAGTCCTGCAGCCTGACCATCTTACATTTGACAGGAGCAGGTGAATCGCATGCCAAACATTCGTAGATTGCAGCTCAAGGTGTTCAACAGAAATGAAATAGCCAGTGTAAATATTCCGCGTTGATTAGTCGACCTGGTGGATGTGATGCATTCACCTTAGATAAGTTGAAATCCCATGAATGTAAACCGATGATATAAGTGGGATGAATGACTTGAAGCAATCGAATTCAACGTCCAGCTGATTTCGGTTACCAGCTACCATTGGAACGCAGTTCCAAGACGATGAGTCTACTGCAGTCTGGTTCAGAGTTTAAGTCATAATCGCTTGTTGTATGATGTAATGCATCTCTTGGTGTCCACATATTGTATCAATCTTATTTTTTTTAAATCAAAAATAATATAACTAGTAATTTCGGGATTATCCCACTGAATAATGCATGTATTTAACACCAGTTTAAATCAAAATCTACATGATCAAAGCAATATGAGATTTTTGAAACTTGGTTGCTCTTAGGAATGATTTCAGTTTTCAGTGTAGTTAATATTCTTTCAGTATATTCCTTATATTTGTATTTACTATTAGTTAAGTAGTGCAATTAATAGTGTTCTCTGAGCTGGTTGGTTTAGTTGCGGAGCTTTCGTCGTCCTTCTGGTCACCTGATTTACTTTTTATTAATTGGTATATTTCATCTATATTAACGTGTTTGTTAATCGCATTTTCGCTTGAGTACCAGGCCTCTAGGAATTCTCTGTCATTTTTCGTGTTTCCTCTGTTTAAGATTTTGACATGATCCCAATCAAACTGATGACCATAGTTGTCTGCATGCATTGATACTAAAGAATACATATCATGTCTTTTCACGACTGATTTGTGTTCTTGGATTCGGATTCGAAGGGGACGCCCACTTTGGCCGATGTAATGCTTGCTGCAGTTCATACAATTTATTTTGTAAATGGTATTAATTTTATCCCCTTTTTCTGTTGGATCTTTTGGTTTGCATAATATCGAATTAAGTGATTTGACTGGCTTGTGTGCTATATCTATATCAAACGGTTTCAGTATTCTAGCTGTTATTTCAGAGATATTCCTCATGTATGGTAGAATGAATTTTCTTGTGGTTTCTGATGATGGTTTCTCGTTGGTGTTTTGATTCGACTTTAAACACTTTTTGATGAAATTTTGTGGATAACCATTCTTTATGAAGACTGTTTGTAAGTACTTTTCTTCCATTCTTTTCAACTCTGGAGTGCTACAATGTGTTTGAACTCTTTTAAACAATGTCTGCACACAGTTTCGTTTGTGAGTAACTGGATTATTGCTAGTATATTTGAGTATTTGATCCGTGTGCGTTGATTTTCTATATACTTGTGTTTCTAAATCTCCTGTGTTGGTTCTCCTGATTAAGACATCTAAAAAAATGGGATTTTGTTATCTAATTCTTCTTCTCTTGTGAATTTGATGTGCGTCGGTGGCACAGCGGTTAGGACGCTCGTCGACCACGCACATGGTCCGGGGTTCGATTCCCGGCCGACGCCACACCTTTACTTCGCTAAGCCAGTAGTGAGAATGGCAAAGTGGAAAGGTTGGGCATGAGGCTAGCAACCCCATCCTGTAAAAATTAACACTGCTACAGAAACTTCAAGCCTCTAGCTTTGAGCCCTATGTTCCACTGGGAACGTGAAGGGAAACAAAATTAGTTAAGTGGAAAACTTATCACTCTTAAGGTTGGTTTAGGTTATCAGTTAGACATTCGGTTACCTTAAGCTTTGAGATCATTATTGATTGATTGATTCGGAATGATGGCAGTCTTGCTGTTTAGTGAAATATACTACACATTTGTGGTGCTACAGAGTTTCGATTTTTTTAAATAAAATAAGGCCGGAATTTAGGCACTGAATTATGTCGTAATCTGATGCAATCGCTTTTAAAAATTAGCGCTGAACAATCATTAAGATGAAAGGCTTTCAGGCAGAATCAACTGTGGATTTCAATCGATGTCTAGTCATAAACTGCTTAGTTACTCAGTTAACAGAATATCGTGTCAGAAACCTGATTGTTAGTTAATATGGCGGTGGAAAGATCCAAATCTTACTCGCGTGTGTGGTCATCATTTCTACAGGGATAACGGGATTAGAATCTAAGTAGAATATAGGACTTTGGCAACACATTTTGTTTCTCTCCTATCATTTTTTTTGGCTGGTTCTTGTCCTTTCCACACACATGATCTAAGTGGGAAGTCATCTCGTTCCATCCAGCTTCCATTCAGTGGCCTGGTGTGTGATGTCCTTTCACTGTGTTCTAAGTGTGTGTCGTGTTCACTTCTGTTACCCTCCATACAAGTGTTCAGAAACAGGTTCGTGATTGGTTCGCTACTCGAGTCTCATGTGTCTTATCTCTTCTAATTGGACACCTAATCATCAGGAATGAGCATAAGGGGCAGATGTTGATAAAAGTTGGAAATGCTTTTGTTGTGGAGTGTGCTACTGATAAGATTTATCAGTAGTATATAAAGAGACGTTCGTCAGCATAAAAAAATAAAATAATAGGGAGATAAATTTGACATCAGAAAAGGTAAATGATTCAGCGTTGTAGAGAAACATCGGAGACGTGAAAGGGACGCAAAAGAAACACAATATAAAAAGAACAGAAGTAGCACAACACAAAAGATCTTTGCAAGTGGTTATAATTCCGTTATATAGCGATACCAAACTGCATATAAACATTCCTTTATCAAATCTCCGGTCTTCTAATGTTGCATAAGCATTTATATTTACACATGACACTGTCATGCTTAGTCACCATTGAAAAATGTTTCATTGGAAAGATTGTCAAAACGACGTGACATCACATATAACAAAATATATCCCGATGTAAAAAATCAGGAAAGCTAAGGATAATAATGATAACAGCTTTACTTTGGACAAAATGTTTGCACGACGTACAGAATTCTCAGGTTTATTTACGGTGTGATATTTCCTCTCCATCCAGGATCTTCCAGTAAGACAGCAGTCTGCTGTGTATAGTGTGACGAAAGGCTATTCTTAGGATTTGAGAAATACGCACTGGCAGTTTGCACGCCAATTAAAAACATGCGCCTACGCATATTTTACAAGTCAGGAAGA